GACATCTGAAAACGCAATCTGGTCTAATACAGAAAGCCATAGAACTGAAGAAAGACTTACAAATCGATGAAAAACCAAAAGCCTCCCTCTCCCCATGAACCCATTAGCAGACACTGTTCTCTCCCCATGAACCCATTAGCAGACATTGATGTAGTGTCCTCTTCCCATGAACCCATTAGCAGACATTGATGTAGTGTGGTGCACCCAACTGCTCGACTTCTTCAGGACTCACCCAACTGCTTGACTTCTTCAGGAAATCAAACACCCCTCGAACAAAACTCCCACACCCTTGAGACAATCATACTATCCTGGAGATCAATGGCTCCAAGTCGATGTTAACTATCCTGCAGATCAATGGCTCCAAGTCTTCACAGTCATACATATCATCAATGGCTCCAAGTCTTCACTGATGGGTCATACATAGAACACCAAGCAACATTGGTGCAGGTGTCTTTTCTGAACTCTTTTCTTTCTACGCAGCAGCGGGACACAATATATCCGCTATTGAAGGGGAAATAGAGGCCATTAGGATAGCAATATGCACAAAAGCGGTGATACTTTCGGATTCACAGTCAGCAATAAACTCAATTGGAAAGAGAGAGCCACCCTAAAAAGCTGAGATATACGAGTGGAAACAGAGAGCCACCCAAAACAGCTGAATAAAGGTATAGAGAGAGCCACCCTAAAAAGCTGAGATATACGAATGTAGAAAACATTGTGAGCTGCTGAGAGAGAAAAACAAAACAGTGGTCCTACAATGGATTCCTGGTCACTGTGGTATTAAAGGCCATGAGCTTGCTGACACACTTGGTAAGAAGGGGACAACGATTTTGCAATGCATGGACCGGCCGATGTCTTTCCACACAATGAAGACCTTAATCAGAAGAGAATTCCAGACCTCAAGGTGCAACGAACTTAAAGCTCGAACAAAGGAGAAACAGTGGACAGTGGCACTTTCCGACATAGCCGACTGGCCAAGAATCGAAGCCGTTGCCGAGTTTAGACTACGCACCGGACACGATTGCCTGGCAAAACATCTTCACAGATTGGGAGTATACACTCAACCCACATGCCCTCTATGTAACCTACAAGAGAAAATGGAGAAGACCCACCTGATTCGGTGTCCAGCCCTAAAGACAAGGACGGAAAGCGAGAGATTCTGGGAAGCATGAAGACACCCGTGGGGAAAGCTGAAGTCGAATTTTAAGGGCTAATGATAAATGTCATAAAGCCTTCCATCTGAAAAAGATGTTCTTTGTGGTAGGGAACCGTTAATAGAGGCTTGGAAAATTAGATTTTGATGTGGTGGATGATGATGACCAGTATTAGACCATTGACGGTGTCTACTATTATTAAACGCGGGGCCCAGCCTACCACATGCCATAACAGCATAGAAATGCTAGGGTCGCTAGTTTCCAACATCGGTAATTGTCTTTATTACAAAATGTCAACGACATTGGTGATTGTGATAATGAATGCTTAGTGGGGCAATACCTACACATTTTTCTTCTCTTTATAATCATATTGGGGCCCTTGCTTTGGTTGGTGCTAGAAAAAGAGAGACTATGGTGATGGGAAAATTTTCTATGGGCTTCAAATTGAATAGTGAAAATATTTGTTAGTGCATATGCTCCGGAGATTTCAAAATCAAACTATAAATTCATAGTCTTAACTTGCCCAAAGCAGAGAGGACAAAATTCGCATAAATCGATGTCTATTTTGAATAAATTTAAAAGTAGGAAGAGCAATTGTCTACCTAGATTTCGTTTAGTGAGTGTCCAGATGTTAGCAGACAAGGAAATATAAATGCCACGCCCTTGGTCCTAAAACAGAGAAGAGCTAATTAAACTGGTTGCCCCAAATATTAGAAATTGTTGCTACCCATTACATACCTATATCAAATTGTAAATAGTGGAATTGTCTTTCACTCTCTGTTATTAGTTTCACTTAATCAATTCACTTATGATAAAGCAAGGCTGCATTAATATTTGAAAATGGTAAAGGATGAACGAAAACAAACAAGAATATAACCACGAAGGACAGCGCTAGAAAATTTCGCTTCAGTTCTAAAAAATTCTGCAACGTTTTACCGAATCGTGCAAGAAAAAACGACGTTTCTCTTATGACACAGTTTAACTAAAATATGGTATTGAAAATAAAATAATCATTGGCTTTTCCTAGTGCGTTCTTTCATTACGGTTTATGAGGTACCTTGTTGTACATGTAATTACTATCACATATGTCCGATGGCACTGAAATGGTTTTAACTGGGTGATATAATTTACTGATGACTCAACTTGTGAGAAGTTAAAACAACAAACAAATTGCTTTAGATTAATCAATATCCGATTTCAAAGTAGAACACTAGCCAATCAATTGTGTTTATTGATGAAGCTGTCTAACCGTTCATTCCTGTGAGAAAACAGCTGATTTCTACAAGCAGATAGACATAATCGCCAGGTTAAAAAACTCAACCTAGCGATCATGCTGACGTTATACAGTATGCAGAATAATACTGGGACAAGTGTATGCTTGTCCACAGCCCTGGTGGAATTGTTTTGTGAAGGAAAGGTTTGGACTTTGGGTTCCGGGTTAATAAAACTGCGGCCTTAACAATGTGAGCATATGTTGTTGATATTTCAAACATTCCTTTTAAAGATGCCGGCACTAAATCTAGTGTCGACACTAAGGCTGAAAAGCTTGTTTGTGGTATTCAGACCATTTTACCATTAATAATGGCAAACTAATGGGGAATTAAGCATCAGTAGTTTGTTGTCCGCTGTGCCCAATGAAAGTGCAAGAGCATCGCTTCCCCCTCAATAACAAAGCATGCCCACATCACCAGTTCGGCTAACTTTCTTAAAATCCAACTTTACGCTGTTAGAGATAGAAATTGACATTGTTGGATGTTTTATTAGGACACTGCCGGCAAACCAATGACTCCCTTAGCGTCCTGTTCGATTTGCTTTGGTCGTAACTTTGATTTTTTTGCTTTTTTTATTTGTTCCCCTTGGAAAATAATAACTTAAAAGAGGCCTAAACATAAGAGAACTGAGAAGATTTTTTACAGCTCCCCAAATGCAAATTCTCCCCTGTCGAAAGTTAAGGGGGGGGGGATTTCTGGCATTAATAAGAAAAACCTTTAGTCTGTTGCCTTCAGAACACGCTTCGTAATAATGTGGAAAGAACGTGATAGAATCTCAGTTCCCCAGCGTTCTTGATGAGCCTAACGGTTATGGACATGCTAAAAAGGGTCAAGACCTTAAAAGTTACTATTTTAGTCAGAGAGTTGTTGTGAGTTGCAGTTTCAACGGCTGTCTCGTTTGCGCCAATAGATTTGTATTGAGTTAACTTTTTGAAACTTGCTATCTACTGAGGGGATTTGCGCAAACAAATAAAAATCATTTGGTTTCGGTCTGATTGTTGTATTTTAATTATATAGGCAATAGTTATACCACATGGCGCGCTTTATTATCATTTTTTATTAATGCTACATGGTTTCAGGTCTGGTCATTGTTGGACTGACTAATTTGGTTTCCGCAAACTATTCATAATGCGTGCATAAATGCTATTGACTTCGGTTTTAATTTCGAAAAACTTGGTGAAAATTTACCCAACCAGGAGAATAATCCACTGCCAAGCCACTCCAGGATAGGTCTTCAGTTAGCGATGGAGTGCATTTGTAAGTGCTAGAAAGTGTCGTGTGCTGCAGGAAAGATCCTTTGAATAAGTAATAGTAATAGATTTGAAAAAACGCTCAATTTTTCAAGGCTATTTGGAGATTCTCAAATTCGTGTATGGAAAAATCTGACGCTTATTTTGTCTCAATGCTTGCTGTCTCTCTCTCTCTCTCTCTCTCTCTCTCTCTAAGTACCAATTGTAGTCTATAAAAGGAAACCATGCAAATCCCAGTTGGTCAGACTGAATGTTATTTGTGGTTGGAGTGCTGTCACCTCATACCTAATTAGTTCATTACATTTCCTTTTTTCCAATTGTGTTTGCATACAATAGCGGGCTAGATAAAATCCTCATTATCCAGCGCATTAACATTTTTTCAAACATTCATACATTATTTACCTAATCTTTGTGTCACTTCTTACTACACTAACACTACCTCTCATTAGTTATGCGCATAACGTTAGCTGTTTCGCAAATTTTGAAATGACTCAAAGGCTACTTTAAGTCTACTTTCTAGCGCCTTCGTCGATGGCACATCCAATTTAAACGAGGGAGATATTACGGAAATTTGTTACTCCATGAGACTCTGAACTTTTTATGAGAATGAAAACAGTTCACATGGTGTTGTCATTTGGCGGCAGAACGTTACCTGACTAATATCGATTTTCGGTTCAAGGGCATCAAACATTGAAAAGGGCGTGACATAAAGACCATCTGAGAAACTGATTAACCCGAGACGAAGGGTAATCTACAGTCTTAAATATTATTTATTAACGTCTTGTCAAACATTAGCTCAATACTTGGATAGACTTTTTCGGAATCAGAAGATTAAGTTATTTATGAACAAATCTATTAAGCAGTTCATTTAAGTCTGTTAGCAGCAGTAAAAATACCTTCTCATCAACGCCCTATCCATTCATATTTCAATTCAGATATTGTCAGAGGCCCGGCTGCGACTTTTCAGCAAGCCTTAGCAAATACAATGGAGAGGGTATATCACAAATTATAACAAACATACGTTAAGCTGTAGTGCAGAATAATAAAAAAAGGACTTTGAAGCTCGAGTAATGTCAAAAATCGAAACATGTTTGCCCCGCCCTAAGGAGACTTTCTACTCGATGAATTCACTTTCTTCATTAAGAGGTGTTCAGCAACTCTTTCGCTATGCATACCCGTCCTCTAATCTACAACTTGATTTATTGTTTCTTTACTACCATAAATATCTTTTCCCTCAAGCGTGAAAATTTCGTTCGAAATGGATTAGCAGTCTCTTTGAAGAATTTATTAAAAAAGTAAATCCAAAATAGCAATACAAACTCTCTTCAATAGTGGTGACGCGAACATACGAGGTTTGCGTAGGCGGATACGTCGAAATGTTCCACATCATAGGTTCCCGTAATTGCCTCTTTCGCTACCTTGTCAAAGTACCACTTCTCCATGATATCATAGGCTTCAGGGTGGTAATCGGAATAAAACTTATTGGCAAAAAGTTCGGGAGTTCTTTGTAAATGGTTTAAGTGTGGAGTGCCAAGAATGCACACCATTCGAACATATTTTGTTGGGCAAGGAATTGAAGAACTCTCCCAGATGACAAACTTGGCCAGAAGAGGATCTTTGAAATATGTAGTGTTCATACAACTGCCGGGTAAGTGAAGACTGGGATTGAAATTAAGAGTACTAAAGAAAAATTCATCCGGGTTAAGGAATGTTTGAGTTTGGAGCATAAAATCTCGAATTGTGCGCGTGGATTGACTGAAGATAATCTCTTGTAAAAATTCTCTTCTAAAGGCTCCGTAGATTGAGCCTTTAACCCACGTAACCTGAACAAAGAGTTAATTATACAATACATAATTTAATAATGGGACAAAAAATATCAAAAAACATTAATACATTATTAGGCAGTCTTTTGCCCAATGTTCGTATCCTCAAATAGCCGAGATCTCGGGCTTCAATCATGTTTGAACCATTCAAAGCTTTCAACGCTGCAACTATTTCCATATTTGTCTTCAATGGGAACTCCTGACCGACAATATTCAGAAGGTACTTCCAAGAAGAATGTCGTCGAAGAGCCTGTTCAGCACAGATAAATTGAGGACGAAGCACTGTTTCATCTCCCCAAAAAACTGCAACACGTTTGTATTTGGGTACAAGCTCGACATTTGAACCGAAACAAGTAGCCAACCCCTCCAGAGCATTTTCAAATGACAATCGGGATCTTGAATCTGTATGGATGCAATAGTAATTGTTCTTTCGATGGATCATACGGAGCAATCTAGCTATCTGTTTGATATCTTTATGCACGACAATCGTAAAGGCAACATCCATGTCATACTCGCCGTTTGACGCCGGAAATTTCTCCCGAAATGACCGGCAGTGAGGGTGGTTGGATGAGTTTATTTGAGCAAAAAACTCCTCGGTTTCGGTATCAACTTGTTTTCGCGTGTAATAAGAGTGAATTGCAGTGAAGGAAATGGTAAAGATTACCAAAATCCAAACTTTTGTGTATTGGTTAAATTTTGATCCGACCATCACCTGGCGTGAAAGAAGAAATTTTGAGTGGTACAATTGTCGATTAAGTAAAGCAACTAGAGTAAACACATTGCGAGAATATAATCAAAATAAAACAGCATAAATTTTTACAGATCAGAAATGGATTTAAGTTTCTTTGGATCACGTGAAGACTCAACGAATTTCTACTTTAACTATTTGTGTATAGTGACAAAAGATGGGTGACACTTTTCAAAATTACTTAAAGCAGTTTAAAATGGCGCAAAAACTGGCCACATAGGGAGTGGAGTGGTGTTTAGAAACTGTAAAAAGACCTTCAACTAGTAGTTGAGTAAGTGCTCAACTGATAAAACTTCTGAATTAATTTTGAGAAAAAGAACATTCGACCAGATTCAACGAAACTCTTTAAAATGCTAAATACCAAAATAAACAGAAAATCCCAAGGTATTTTCTCTAATCAGAACAAAACGTCAAACATTACCCCGTAATGAGGACAAGCCCGTGATCTATTGCAAGTCAAGAGCAATAAATACATAAATAAATAAAACAATCCAATGCAAAATAAGCATGAAATCTATTCATTTTTTATGGCTAAAATGAACGATTTGAAATGAATTAATTTAAAATGTAAATAAACAGGTGGATTTATAAACAAGATTTTACTGTTCTTGATTCATCTAGGAACAAAAAGTTCACAGGCTGTCTCATAATAGTTCCTGTTGATTTCACAATATACCTGCTAACTATTCTCAACACAGTTGGATCCTCAAAAATCAATCACATCGTTATCCTTATCATTTATGTTAGAGCAAAATCTAATTACAAACAGTTGGAATGAGATGTAGAAACCTCCTCTTTTGTTGCAACTGGAACTTGCTCATACTTTGCAATCGTAATTCTCTTATGTCTGAACTAACTAAGCAGAAGAAAAATAATTGATTGCGTTTGTGGGTTGTACAACTTTATCAAGGATGGCCAAAGGGCTATGGCGTGTTTTAGAGCATGCTGGAAATTACACATGTGCTCTAGATCACGCAACTGAGCACTGAAGACGTGTGTATAGAGCACTCCAAATAATCAGCGATAAATATTTGCGCAGCCTAAATTAGCAAGCTTTTCAGAAAACTCTCCCCAAACCACACTACTTGTCTGCATAACTATGGGGCGAATTATTCTAGAGGATTATGCTCGAGGCCAGTTGTACTTGTGTGTGCAACTAGTTGGACTCTTAAGAGGATTGCCAAAGTTTCACCAAGGTCATAGTTGTGCACTAGTTACATCAGGCTCGATTAAATTAGGACTACTAGATTCCAAATAAATAACCATATGGTTATAAGTAACGGAAACAATTAAACTCCATTCCAAATAATAATTACAACATTTACAACAAACACATTTTATAAGTGTGACCTAATGACCCTCTATGATCTAATTCCCCATAAATCAATAATAAACATTTTTCCAGTCAAAATTAAATATTAAATATGTTTAATCATTGTTATAAAAATAAAATAAACAATAGCTTACATGTAATATTTGCAATTAATTCAATGAAGGTGTGAATGGTGAATCGCAAAAAATATTAAAAATGGCGTAGAAGGGTCAGAGCAGAATCAAGCAACCCGTGCAACGAACACCGTTCGCACGAGTAAGTTATGGCAAATAAAGTTGCGCAAGGGTAGAGCTTCTAGTCTGACCAATCAGTAATGAGCTTTTATGATCCAATCAAATGCCTGCTTATTTCCTCACTGACATGGAAAATTCTCCAGCCATCACGAAAGAGGATTACCGTGTCTGGACTCAAATTGTTTCATTTTTATCGATTCTTCGAATCAAATCAATAAGATAAACTGGAGATTGCCAGTGTTCAGTGGGAAAATTGACGATTTATACACAATGATGCATTAAGTTGTTAATTTAAAGAACCAAGTGTTATCCTTCAGAAAAAAACTCCAACTTTCTAATTTCTTGGCAAATTTATTCATAAGTGACAAAATCTCATATAAATATGCCTTTAACTCGTTAAACCGAAAAGTATTAACTGGAAAATGAATTCAGTAGTGTATGTATATTGCATTATAATTCTACGGACTCCATTTTTTAGTTAGGAGTGTAGTGGCCTTCTATTCTTTAATAGGCTTTATCATTTCGAATATGCCCACTTTCTCTCCATTTCACCAACTCTGAAAACATACTCGGTTCACTGCATTTGCTCTTGTCTTAATTACCATCCACTCATACGCTCACCTTCTTCTCATGGTTCCTGGTTCCCTCTCAAGACCTCTACTCACCACTATCGTTTCTCCTTCCTCTCTATAACTAACCGGCTAACATATATTGCATATGTGCAAAAGAAACCCTATGCTATCAGTACAAGTCCCCATAGTGTAGTACTTTTGTCTGTATATTACCGGGTCCAAAGCTCATTTATTATATGTTCCAGTCAAGCTAACTTAATGCATATAGTGAAAAGGTGTTGATTCTTAAAAATGTTAATTAAAGTATGGATAATTTGCATTGAGCATAACAAAAAAAATGTACTTCTCTCTTATTGCCAAAAGTTGAATAGATTGACATCATTTTTGGAAACATATTAAATGTTAATTTTGCTAGTTCTAGGAAGGCCCAATTGTAGCTTGCACCAAAAAAATGTAAATGCACATTGTATCGTTCATTCCGATTACTTGATTGAAATTTTTTACAGGAAGCACTATTTACCTTGTTTTCATTTCGCACTAACTGATCAGCATAAATATTATTCATAAAAATTCTACACTTAAGTTTTGAAATTACCTGATATTTTGATCTTGTCAAATTTTAATTTACTGAGTTTGGTTTTAGTACAACTTTATTCCAAATGGCAGGCGTTTTGATAATTATCACTATCCCTTTAGCTGACTTCGGGCTCCACAGAGGAGAGGAACATCAAAATGAGAAAAAGTCGAGAGGGGGAATAGAACAATGAATCACAGATGAAAAAAGACTGACAGACACAATGGCAGAGTAAAGGTAAGATGGGTTCTGTGGAAGTGGTCGAATATGACATGCATTGGGGTCATGGTAGTTTGAAGTCAGAATTCAACTGCCAGTTAGTAGACTTTTTTGCCGCATTAGTATGCGTTGCCCAGATTAAACCACGTGAAGGTAAGTCTATCGCACACCCGGGTTTAGTCCAACTTTGTGACCGTGTTTCAGCCAAAAATTATATGAAGGAGAAGTATAAAACGAATGTCCTTACAGTTCACCTAAAGTCAGGTATGTTTAAGATCATACGAGGTCATTTCGCTCTCTCTACTCTTGGATAAATAACGCGTAGCTTTGTGTTAAGATAAGCTAATAAATAGAAGATATGAGATAAGAATTTGTTCAGAGGTCTAGAGAACCTATTATTCATTTAAAGGATACATATCAGATGAAACATTAATTTAAAATAACACTTTCTGAATTCAACGCAAAATTATCATTGGTGAATTTTAACCTTTTAAATGTGTGACATTGGATATTTCTGAAAACCCACTTAGAAATTCTACACGCTTTTTTAAGCAGCGGCTAAGTTCGTTGTGACAGTGATGCACTAATCAAAATTCAGTTAACATCGCACATCCAGAAAATGGGTTAATCAGGATTTATGCTCATTTATTTATTTCAAATGGCGTGCGTTTTGATGGTTATCATTAGCCCTTTAGCTGACTTCGGGCTTCACAGGGGGGACATCAAAGTGGGGAAAATACGAGAGGGAGAATAGATGAATAATTCACAAATGGCAAACACACAAAGGTAGAGAAAAGGTGAGGTGAGTACTGTGAAGTGGTCGAATAGGACATGCATTCGGGTCATGATAGTTTAAAGTCAGAAGTCAAATGCCAGTTAATAGACTTTTTATACCATATGAGTACCCAGTTGACTTCTGGCTTCTAACTACCTTCATCCCACTGTATGTCATATTCGACTACTTCACAGTACTCATCTCACCATTTTTTCCACCTTTGTGTCTCTCTTTTACATCTTTGGAACACTCTTCTGTTCCAACCCCCCCCCCCTCCGCCCTCTTGACTTTTTTCACTTTGATGTTCCTTCCCTCTGTGAGGCCTGAAATCACATTAAGGGCTAATGAAATAATCAAAATGCTGCCATTTGATATAAATAAATACCTTTTTTTCACCGATAAATTTTAATGACCAATTTACAGACACCAATCAAAATTAGGCGTTACAAACAATAGCGAAAAACCCTTTCTTATTGAATACGAGGTAGAAAGGAAGCTATTATCATGCGGTCAATTTTATTCGATAGAATAAAAATAACATAGATGACTCTCATGATTATATGAAGTTCGAAGTCAGCTAAGGGCAAATGGTAACTATCAAAACGCCTGCCATTTGGTATCAATAAATATTTAAAAAATACACGTTGTTCACCATGGTAATTGAATTTAAGTGTATACCAACTATTTTAATATTAGCCTGCCAAAATTAGCCAAAGCTTAGAATAAAGGGTGATAGAAATATGAACAAAAACGCCTATCAATATTCTGCCTTCACAGTAGATAGACATTATATTCAGATTATATTTTAAAATCCTAGGCGGTGGACAAAAGTTTGTGAATAAGTTTAACAAATTCGAAAAATACCTAATTCGAATATTGAACACGAATTTTTTACTTTGCTGCCTTTTCACTTTGAGATTTTGAACTACGCTTCCTTAGCACAGTTTATATGAGCGATCTCAGCACACTCGTAAGTGATGCTGATCGCGTTGGGAAGAAAATGAGGTCACCAGTAAAGAGACTTCTCTACCAATCAACAATCAATAGACATGCATTGTCAACGTTTCCAAAGTTGCATTTAATGACTAGGCTTTGTGTCATTGGCATCACACAGCCTCAATAAGAAAATTTCATGTCATGCAATTTTGTGGCTTGGCCAACTTCGGGAACCACTTCATACTAAGGCATATTGCCATGGAGTTTGCCAGAAGGTTTGTATAAACAATGCTTAGAGAAATCAAGGAGAGGTAGAGGATAAAACGCGCAAATAAGCCTCGGACTAACCTCAGCAATCTCCCTTGGCAAAATCACCTTGATTGGGATGACTCCCTTAAATGGGGAAGCAGAGCTCTTTCATTGTTAGTTCCCACTGTTGCTACGTGCCACTGACGCAGAGCTAACACTTTCTAAATGTGATGGTAAAGGTATTTCATATTAAAATGTTTCTATTTAATTTCGTTTTGAATATAATTATTTTGGGAAAAAAGAGTTATTTTCTGTTTAAATGTTTCCTAAATCTATGATTAATACTGATGGGTACTTATCATAAAGTAATATTACCACTTTTCTAAACATTGAAAAGAAAATCGTTGTGTCTATTTTGTCAATTATTAGACATTTTTTGAAAGTAATGACAAAAATTTTGACTCTAGTTAAGTTCAAATGATGAAAATCGACTTTCGCGAGCATTTATTCTAAGGTAACTTAAAAGTGCAAGGACGCAAATGAACGCATTTTAGTTAAAGGCGAAAGTGTGGAAACTTTTCGTATTTTTCTCACGTATTTCTATCTCCAGGATTGTAAACTCCATGAAGTTTATTGGCATATAAATGCGGCCCTGTTCATTTCCTCCACATGCTACACGATTAAGCACTGATTTATCTTCTTGAGTAATCTCCATGGCGAAACAACCCTGAGTTTGCTAACCTACCACATCATCGTAGAGGAAACGGAACGTATGACGTGGGATGGGTTTATGAGATTTGTGTAATCTGTGGTGTCGCCTCTATATGGGAAACTAGCACTAAGATTAGTCGCCATAAATATCATTTGGGTCATGACTATTGGCTGTTGATTGGCTGGGAGGTCTCTGTACTTTTGACCTTATTTTCACCCTAGTGGAAATAGCATCCCGGACGCATGTTCTAAAATATTCGATCGCACATGAGATTGCGTGGTTTAATTGTGTCGGAATTGTTACTCCAACCGGTTCATCAAACAAACTTTGCCAGCCAAAGAATGTCATAAACCTCCACAGTTGCTAATTTCACAAATTATCACAAATTATTTTTATCAAATGGCCGGCGTCTTGATGGTTATCATTAGCCCTTTTGTTGGCTTCAGGCTTCACAGAGAGGAAGGAACATCAAAGCGGAAAAAGTCGAAGGGGGGAGGGGGAACAGAAGTGTGTTTCAAAATGTAAAAGAGACAGACATGAAGGTAGAAAAAAGGTGAGGTGAGTACTGTGAAAGTAGTCGAATATGGCATACAGTGGGTCATGGCAGTTTGGAGTCAGAAGTCAACTGCAATTTAATAGACTTTTTTGCCGTATGAGAATACGTTGCCCAGGGTGCACCACGTGGAGGTAAGTCTATCGCACACCCCATATTGCTATTTCGCACAACGTGGAGGTAAGTCTATCGCACACCCCATTCATTAAATATATCACGGAGGTAAGTCTATCGCACACCCCGTATTTTAGACTTTTTTGTCGCATGAGTATACGTTGCCCAGGGTGTTAGACTTTTTTGCCGTATGAGAATACGTTGCCCAGGGTGCACCACGTGGAGGTAAGTCTATCGCACACCCCATATTCAACCTTATTCTATATAAAATTTGTTCATTCCTTCGATAACATGATCACAAAAATAGGTGTCCTTAGGTTTAGTTAGAAGGGTTCTCTACTGCCCTTTGGCAATTACAGTTAGCAACACTTAAGTATTGCAATAATTGTCTCAAAGGGAAATATTCAACTCAAAATTTTCTCAAAGTTCTTAAAGCCTGGTCTTTGAAAATGGAGGCTTCAAATTCACCGATGCGTCCATTCTCACTGAAATTAGATTGAAACTATGAATTAAATATAATTAATGTTTACAGGTTATGCAATTTGGCAGTTTTTTTCCATTTTCTCCAATCAAAATTTAAATTAGCAACACAGGAAACAATTATTATTTTGAAAATAAGCACACATTTAGATTAAAATTTACCCTGTTATGGAGTACGCATTCCTAATACGATTAAACTGCTCCTTAAAACATTACGTGCATGCATCAGATTCTTTCAAGTTGTGTTAAATGTATTCAATGACTAATCGTGCTTGCTGCGTTCGCATTTTCAAAAAACACTGTACTTCCTGTACGTCTGCCTCTTCTATTCCACGGAAATGGTTTAACAAATTCCGAGAACCTTTCTATACTAGAATAATTTGTAATAGAGATTACTGAGGAGGATAAGGCACAGTTAATTCGTGTGAAAACTATTTAATTTCAGATGCATATCTTGTAGCGGATTACTACTTTACTAACGCCTTGACTGAACTCAGAAACCTCTAATGTGGTAACGCGCAAGAAACAGACGTATTACGAGAATACGTTTATTCAGTAAATAAACCACGCAGGAAGTGTATACAGGAAGGAAGCTCAGTCATACAAAATGGCGGATTAGATAAAACAAGTGAGGGTCATTGAGCTGCTATTGGCTGCGTGCTCTTGTCCTCAATCAGTACGCGAAGTTGTACGGCCGCACCTCAAGCCTATGTGAACACGCATGCGATGACGTGTCCCACAATCTTGACAATGAATCTTTATGCGTATATTTTTTTTTCAAATTTAACAACTTTCAAGGAATTTTTGAAAATTAAAATTAATACTCCGAAATCGCAGTTGAACGGTGTTCAATTGGAATTATTTTAGCAGTTTACTTGAATGCCTTTACTTTATGTGTTATTAGGCATTTAAAGCGATGACTTAAAAGTTCAAATGCTCATTGAGGAAAATGACACTACTGGGCGACTAAAAATATAGTTGAGCAAAAAGTCAATCGCCGCAATTCTCCATTTTACTTTTTTTCAAAATATTTTCCTTTGATTAGGGCAAAGTACACCCAAATCAGTTATTCGGAAAAAAATTAAGTGAAATTGGCATAACAGTTGAATTAATGGTTTAATCATTCTACCATCACTGATATTTTTGCGTAAAGATGCAGCGGATTGCTACACTTATAAAGTCTGACTAAACTCAGAAATCTCTTATTGTGTTGATCTCCCAGATTGGTTACCACAAGTGGTAGAAGGAAAACACGCGTAGTATCTAGACCACGTCTGTTCACGCACGCAGTGACAAGTCTGTGTACACACAGGAAGCTTAATCATTAATCGGGATGGCGGATTAGGTTAAACAAACGGAGGCAACTGATTGGCCACTGTTTGTACGGCGCACCTCTCCATCCTGGCGCGCAGGCATGCGATAACGTGTCCCACAAGAGCTCGAACTAAGGCAACCTTACTCCTTTGGACAAATAGACATTTTCATTAAAAAGGATTTAATTTTGCTACATTAGGATTCGCATACATACTGCACTATTTTATTTCCACAGAGCATCACTTCATAATTACTATTGTTAATGCAATAATCAGAAGGCTTTAGACTTTCGATTCAAAACGTAATTTTCCAAATATTTCATTTAACATTTAACTCAACTTGAATGGAAATTTGAACGAATTTTAATTTACAAAATGTTGAAAAAATGGGAATAACTCTGCAAAAAATGCAATTACACCAAGATTGAGCAGATTTCCTAATTTCGCTCCAAATTATGCAGCTCAATGACAATGTAATTTAGTCACTTTAACAAATATAAAATGCAATGATCAACTAGCAATAGCTGATTAATTTGTATTCGCTTTTATAAAGCATATCATAAGTATTTTAACAAAGTTACCAATTTCTATGCAAAGTATAATCTCAGTCCAACCCGACACCGACGCTCTCTCGTTGGCGTTACACATCTACTGGAAGCTCTGCCTTCAAAATCAATGAGCAAGGCCAATTTGAATTGATGTGTCAGTTTAATTAGAGTCACCACAATGCAGCAGTTGACATAGGATAAAAGTGCCATGGCAACACTGATGCGCGCATATCTAACCCCAATTTGCCATCGCACTTTCAATACATATCCATGGGGAGGAGTTACCCTGCCGACACTCAGTCCCAACGAGCTTTGCAAGAAGTTTACGAAAAGGAGGAACTCGCGGCAATTAAATTCTTTCTTGCCCATCACAAACCAGATGAAGAGGTCACTAAGAAATCAGCCACAGTTAAGGAGATCTTTCAACTTGAAATACCTCAAAAGTATATCAAACTTATGGATGAAAAGACACACAGAAAGATAAAGAAACAATCAGAGGCAACGACAAAAGAATTACTGCCTTCCACTGAAGAGATTCCTCTTATGCGACCTCCTAGTTCGTCGACTAAGAATTTACTTTACGGAGAGCATGGTGAAACGTAAGTTTTATTTAAATAAGTTATATCTTAAACAATTCGATCGTTAGGCATCATTAAAAAAATATTAAAAGTAAGTACATATTTAAAAAGACAAAGCCAGCTACCTTTGCTTGATCTGTAAGTAATTGAAAAATGGTCATTTTTGGCATGTCTTAATGATAGTCAGTAAAACAAGAACATCAATAGAAGAGTAATCTTTCTTAATAATTGCTGCTATTCTCACAGTCCAACTGCATGTATGAAATAGGCTTCAACTATACCAGCTAGCTATAAGAGGCAAAATCAATAATCTGTTTAGTAAATGTTTTTTAATTTATAATATTTCATATAATTCAATTATCTTGTCAATTTCCCATTTGCTAAGAGCCAACCATTGTATTTCAAAAGTCTATTCAGTGTTACATTTACCAAGGTAATCTGGACAACCAAATTTTAGCATTTATTTTAAAATTTCATTATTTCCACCTATAGTAGCATCTACCTGAAACAACGACTGAAGTTGAATCCAGATGAAAGATACGAGATGCCAGTCACGTCAGCAATGGAATATGGCTGGAAGTTATTTGAAGTCTTCCCCAAAAGTGAAATCACACACCCGCGTTATGGAAGAATTAGCACTATTCAGAAGAGTTTCTTTCGTAATGGTAGCATCTCGCTGAAGATGGGTGAAGACATGCTTTGAGTTACTTTGTATTTTTTTGAGCTTTAGTTTACATTGCGTTGTTTAGCCTGAGAGAACTGTTTAAACAGAAAATTCTTAAATTGTGGTTTTCAGAAATACAATTCGGTTGTAGTTCTTCGCCAAAACGCTGTCTTAGGCTTATGTTAACCAACTCAAAGGTCAATTACAAGGTTGTGAAAGGCAAATCAATTAGGTTTTAACGTACTCTATACCATGGCGTCATAATTACGACAAAGTACAACCAATGGTTTTTCCTTTCAAATCACTTTAAAGCAAAATAAAATTATCAGCACCTTCGTCATTTGAGGATTTTGATCAAAAATGAATAATTATGAACATTGTTTACTAGTAATGCAACAGACGCCCAGTAATCTACCGATACTCAATTAAAATAGGTGAAGAGGTTTTTTCAAAAGGCTAGTTCGCTTCACTCGCCCAAGAAAGCCCATTTTTTTGCATAAAGCTAGAATGGAAGATGAGCTAGCAGTACAGCAGATTTGAAACTTTATTTTTAATTACTGGCATGAAATTCTGTTTAAAAAATGGTATTAAATCCTAATCAGAACGTCGGACATATGCCATTTTGATATGATCAAAAAGGTCATCTTTCAGTTTACGGTGTGCATGCATGACCATTGAAAGAATGGCGAGTAACGTAAAGAGTGTAGAATTGGACAAGGTAGACGGAAAGTAGAAATGTAGTCACTATAGCCCAAGTTAAAACAAGCAATGATTGAATTTGATTAAATTTGTCGCTATCAGAAACACTTAATTCGTTTATTGCATCAACAATTGAGGTCTGACTCCAAAAAAATTTGGAAATCCTTTTCTATTACATTGGGCGATAAATGTGGATAGTTAACATTGCTCGCAGTTTTATAAGGTGTATAATTAGTTAGATATTTAATTTTTGCCCTTATCTGTTCTGCCTTTGGTAATCTTCACTCCATTGACAAGCTAGAGAGAAAGCATTATAGCTGTCAGAAGAGTCGATTTGTCAGCTAAGCGCCACATTAAATTAGATTAAAAGAGATCATCAAATTACTTCACCAGATCTATGAATAAGAAATCGTTTTGGATATTTAGATCAAAAAGCGGTTAAGCGTCCAATATACTTTCATCAATTGGCATTGCTTTACAAAAAGGCAGAATCTGATTTCAGTATGCTCTTAAATAGTTGGAAGGTAACTGATTCAATTGCTGTCATTAGTAATTTGACAAGATCGTCTTACTCAGCCGTTTAGAATCAGTTTGGATATATATATATTCCACCTTCCAACGAAGTCTGACACAATAGTCTGCCTTTCACCAAGAAGTATTCCCCAACACTCCAATTAGTTGTAAAACGTAATAACATTCTTTTCATATTAGAGAACGGAGACTGAAAGTAGTTAGAATTTCTGCCATAATATAACAAAACTTTTGCACTTAGTCAGTAAGCCTCGTCAGCATCGGATTGGGTAAGACCGATAGTTCGATTAAAGGTATCCACTGGCGGGCTGTTCGAATTTTGCATAAACTGGGTAAATACGCCCTAGTGCAGTTACTTTGCTGCTATTTTAGCCAAACTGGAATTAAATGACAGCAATCTACGAAGTCTTGTTACAAAAATCACGTGAACTACCACAAATGTCTTGAAATGCTCAATTTGTGTAGAGGAATTTGTCCAAACAAATCATTTGTTGACTATAAGTAAAGTACCCAACATTTGTGGAAGGCTAAGGTGGGAAACTAAAGAAGGATTTAGGTAATTAGAACATTAAAGCTACTCTCCTTTTGAGCTATGAAATGTTTCTAATACCACTGAACCAAGTGTAATAATTTAAAATTATAAAAACCATCAGATGCCAATCACCAAAATTTTAAATAGAACGATAGCCGACTCGTAAACAACGGTCTTTTGTTGTTCATCAATCTAGATTTGACCATATTCCAAATAATGCGAATCACTAGCACTCGCTCTCTCTCTCGCTCTCTCTCTCTCACTCTCTCTCATCGCGCATCGTGTATCAATTACCTTGAGGACATTTGCTTTGTCTCATATTTTCAAATGTATGTTGCAAATGAATGTTTTTGTTATCAAGTTACACTTAACTCCTCTCCTATAGTTCGGAGTTTACTCTCTAAAAGGACCAATGGGAGCAAAAATCATTTCAGTTGTATTCTGGTCAGAGATGTTTTAATGGGCGAAATAGACCATCATTACACAGAAAAGAGTAATTAATATGCGAAATATTTTTGTCAAAAGGTCGAATTCTTATGAATAACTTTCGAAAATATCAGAGATCTGATTGAAAATGGAAGTATGATCATGACTAGTGAGTTGATTCAGAAAGATGTAAATATAATCATATCCGATTTCAGGACTGCATGAATTTGGCGTTCTCTTGCTATATTTGTTGAAGCTTGAAGTGAATGCTGCTCTCGAATTGAAAGTGACTCAATGTACTGGCTTTCAGGAAAATGATGATCTTCTGCAGGTTGTGCAAGGTCACTTCCTTGGTTATCTGATGCGCTAATACAATCAGGTCTTTCAAGTACCAATCGAATATTCGTAGCACTATAGTCATCTTCTTTACCTGACAAATCACACCACTTATCATCTGCCCGCCTTATTCCCATTATTTGCGCTAGATTATACGGCTCTGTTGAATTCTGCGTTGTCATTAGTAGTATGGGAGATGAGGTAAATTAATTTCTGATTTGTGCTGAAACAGAAGCACCTTTCTGATCTGCTTGGATAGGAGGTGGGGGTGGATTAGAATTTATTAATTATATTCTTGCCATAGCGAGATCAATTAACTCCGATATACTCTATTATCACGATCTGTCAAAAGTATAAAAAATCATTTATACGCATTAAGTAAAATGGTTTAAAAAACTTTAATTCACGTTAGCAATAAAAGTTATTGTGATTCCTAATTCTTGTCACCGTTAGTTGATGATTTAGTCTCACGTCCACTCAAAGTACTGCAAACAGTTTCAGTGGTTCATCCATTAAAAGAAAGTTTCTCCTCATCTTTTTTTGAGATCTTAATTTAAGTTGCCGTTGTCGCCAGACACTGAGGTTGAGATCCATCAATCGTGCCATGATTTATTTTTCCAACAGTTTCAGCACTTTGAGTTCCACTGAGACCTCGTAATGGGAACTACTCCAGGAGTGGGTTCGATAGAAGTCCAGTAGGCTGGCACTGAATTGCAGTGATTTTTTAGTTGGAGTTGGTAGGGCATTACAGAGAGTTCTTCCCCAGTTCGATTTTAGTAAGGGGTGAATTAATATTGAACTAATTTGCGAACTTTGTGACGGTGAACTATTTTTCGTTGGTGAATCACTTTCTAAAGCTAAACTTATCATCATGTAATTCATTATTCCTCGGATTTTTGCACTTTCACCCTTGAAAATTAGCAGCCCTCCCCCCTCAATGAATTCCAGTTAGAAAGAAGAGGCTTAAAGCATTGAACCAAACAAATGTCGAAATGTTTTGAAAAGATTTGTAAATGAATTTTGAGTATTTCTAAAAGTGGCGTTAAAGAATCAAGAAGTAAAATGTGCAAAGAAAAGAATAAAATAAATCAATATTTAATGACGTTTCTATTTCGAAAATGCAGTTTAATGACTTTAATATTAAGCATTTGAGAATTTATAAATTTTTATAAAAATACATTGATGAAACCTCAGCAAATATCAAATTATCATTTTGCTTAATCTTAAATTGCTCTGTGAAAAATTTGCCACAAGAACACACATATTAGCCCATGTATGTATCGAACTAGCCTGGTTGCGTAGAATTCGCTATATCCGTATCCTAGCTCCATATAGGAAATTTTAGAGAAAGTTATTTATTTTAAATCGAAATCTTACAAAAAATCAATATGGTCAGTAAAAATTCAAACTCATTTTCTGTCTACGAGACCAGTGTCGAAGATGTTTGGGAAGCTGACGATGAAGAATTTCTTTCTCTCATATCAAAAGCAGGTAATCTCGTAAGCAGCATTTGTTAAAGGTATTTAGCTGCGGATATGACTGCGAAGGAAGTTATGAGGAATCATTCAATTGAAACACAGAGAGTCATCAAGGTTGTTTTTTATATTGTCTTTCAATTGTAAACTATTTCATTTCTTTGTCAAATCTAGTCTCGAAACCCAACTGGAACACCGCGTACTTTGATGCCTGGGAGAGTAGTTCGACTTGAGACTAATTCTGATTCTTCCTTGTCCCTGGCGCAACCCTCTGTTGAGCGCCGCATTGAACAATTTAACTCCCTTATTAATTCGCCATTTACAGATTTGAGTAAGAGCATTTGTTTAATATTTTATAATTTTTTATGTTTTAATTTTATCTTTATCTATATTTTGAAAGCAATTCTTCGTAAGCTCTCTTGGTCAGGGATTCCCCAAGCCATACGCCCAGTCACGTGGAAATTGCTATGCGTACGTTCATAATCGCGCAATTGCTTATTTAACGTTTTGACTAAATGCAAGTTCTAGCTTTAACCAATCTTAAATTGTAATGAAGATTGTCACGGAATAAAACTCTTACAGTCCATTTTAAATGTCTTGAGTCAATAGAACCCAGATTTAAGTTAGATGTGGTACTTTATTAATAAAATTAAACGGTTTTTGACACCTTTTTGACGTGTTGACAGCTGTGCCATCAATTTATTTATGTTAAGGCCAGTTAAATTTGTATTTGCACATATATGCATATGTTGGTTGCCATCATTGTGCGGAATTTTCTACTTACGATAATTTATACTACGTTCTACAATGAAAGTATAAATGAACATGACAATTCCCCAGCCGAAAATCATTCTGTTCAGGTATAAGAGTTTATTCTAACTCCCGTTTACTTTGAGTGTACAAGCCTTCTGGGGTCTGCTTGCCTAAAACTTTCTGTCCCTCTTATCCTTACTCTATTAAACTGTTGTAAACTGCGGAATATCCTATTAGGTCACGTGTCTTCTCAATCATGAGAAGAAAAAATTGCCGACTGGCGTTTGTGTCTGTCATAAAGTAAATAGGGAAAGTGATATTTTAAGTTTGTTTGTTCTTTCGATTTGCCTGAGATTGAGATTGTTGCAAACGTTATGTTCACCTGTGCTTATTGAAATTGGTAATCGGCTCACTTCAAATCTGTAATATGCGTAGTTAGGTAAGACGGTTTCATACGTAAGATTGTAATTATTATTCCTTATTGTTCAATCGAATATTTATTTACGAACTTAATGACAAAATGGGATCAATCATTGCCATTGCCGAAGATTAGGCCTCAGAAATTTCTTGTTTATATATTAAAGATGACCCAAACCCACTAACAGCCGGATTTGGGTGTTAATAAAATTTTATCAATTCATATTTGGCAGAAAATAAAATTTCTTATGGCGGGAGTAAAACCACTGAAATCGTTGGCAGTGCGCTCATTGAATGCCGGAAGGTTGACTATTCACTTTAATGGACAATTCATACTTATAATTAAAATTTGTAACTCGGTTTACTGTGTTTTCTCTTTACCCCACAACATTCAATGGTCATTGACCGTTTGTTTAAATATCCTGAACTGTCGTGGTACTTCAGATCATTTTCTTCCCAAGGTTGGCAGTAAATGATCCTACGGTGATGTTAAGAGTTGAGTTTTGGCAACTTTCACTTAATTCGTTGTCACGCGGTGCTGCAACTCACTCCTCCTTTCCATTTAAATTAGTGTTCCATTGGGATGTCTACATCGCTTCATTTTCATATTTCTAAACACTAAATTTTTAAAGCTTCACTTTCATCTGCCTCTAGGACTATCTTCCAGCATCCAGTGATCGAAGGAGTTCAATCCTAGAGAAAAAGCGAAAACAGTATCGTGATTTGAATGACCAATTCTTTAATCTTCGTAACGGCCATGATGGCGCAGAAATATTTAAACAAGTTCAAAAAGATCTCATCCGAATGCCGATGCTTCAAAATCGACAGGATCTATTTGGAGTGAGAGACCGCGATATTTGCACTTAATTGAGTTATTTAAATTCTGTCTAAATTTCAATTTTGTTCTTCTAGTTGTTTGAAAGGGTGCTTTTTAATTGGTCGATTAGACACCCAGGAAGTAGTTATGTTCAAGGCATAAACGATCTGTTAACGCCGTTTTCTGTGGTCTTCCTTTCCGAATACGTGAAAACAGGTTAGTTGATTTGATCAGTTGTTGTATCCCTTCAACGATAACCCAGTGACTGCTTTCCTAATTCCCGTTTATTTCATTAATTTTAAGAGATGAATTCCTCGGGTGAATTGAAGCTCTCTGCTCCATTAACCGGAGAACAGATGCAAAACCTAGAAGCAGATGTTTTCTGGTGCGTTTCGAGGCTCCTAGACACAATTCAAGATAGTTACACATTTGCTCAACCAGGAATTCAGAACAATATTAATAAACTATCCAGTCTGATCGAACGAGTGGATAATGAATTGCATAAACATTTAATGCTACACAAAGTGGAGTATTTGCAATTTTCTTTCAGATGGATGAATAATCTCCTAATTAGAGAGCTGCCTCTTCGATGTATCATTCGATTATGGGACACGTATATGGTATTTGAAATATTCTACATACTGAATACATTAAAGTAGAAATTCTAACTATCGTTTTTCTTTCAGGCTGAACCAGAAGGATTTTCCCAATTTCATGTGTATGTATGCGCGGCCTTTTTGCTTCGATTTAAGGATGATTTAATGAGACAAAATGATTTCCATGGTTTATTGGTATACCTCCAAGCCTTGCCAACACATCGATGGACTAATGATGACATTGAGCTTGTTCTTGCACTGGCCTACCAATATAAGAGTCTATTTTCTCAAGCGCCCAAACATTTGGACTACCAGAAGAGTGATATACAGTAATTGTATTAGTAGTGATTTTTAGTCAACCGCCTCTGAATCCCCCTTCTGTCTTTCTGATTAACTTTTCATTTTGCACTATTCTCATTGAAATTAGACAAGATTGTAAATAACTGATGAACTTGTTATCTATCTCCATTTCAATATATTTGTTTGAAAAGCTTGTATAAAATTCGAGAATAAACAATGAAGTGTTCTCGTTGCTCAATGTCTATGGGTATGATGTACAGAATGCGTCCATAAATGTAGAAGAATTCCATTTTGGTGAGTCTTCGTTATGTGGAAGCCGAAATTTATAATGTTAAGTTTGTTCAGAGTTGTTCAAAGACTGAAAAATTGGCACACTATTTTGAGTAAGCATAACATATCATTAGCTATTTTTCGAGTATATATTTAAGTGTTGATAGTGTAATGGCTCGGGGCAGGTTTTAATCTCGGATTAGAAACAAATAAGAGTGCAAATCTTTAATGGCTATATATACTTCCGTGTTTACTTGGATAAGTACACGTAAACATGCTTCTTTTGATTTCCTCTTTGGTTAAACAATTCATACCTTTCTTGGCTTCTAGTGGCTATATTATTTGCTGCTAACTGAATTCCAGTTAGCACGAAACCATGAACTTTAGTCCGGTCCACACTCACGGATAAATACTTTGCCCTCGATGCTGATTTAGTGCAGTAGATCTTATTTTTTTCTGAGAGCAATATACGTTGTGAAGTTGTATCAAGCAATATTAGCGATATTTAAATGCGCCATTCATTGGCATTATCACTGATGCAAACTAGTGTAGAGTACATATGACTAAGCAAAATCGCTTGAATGATTGGAGCGGAGTCGAAAAACGTCACTCCCAAGTAAATTAGTAAAGCATATTTAAGTGGCTATCATCTGATGATTGGAAACTGAATAAATAATTTGCATTTCTCTGATGCTCTCTCCACCGCGTTACCTTCAACTGTCGGGTTGATGTGGAGTTAATTTGCCATTTTATGGATCCGTCAGAATCTGTTTACTAAAAGTTAGTTATTGATTAACTCAAAATTTTAAAATAGGCATGCATTGTTCCTTTCCAATCAATAACCATTGCTTTGTGAATTGGCAGGTAGTAAAAGTGCTGCTTAGCAATGTCTGATTAATTATATAGATGAGAACCAAAATTATACGGTTGAAAGATATGGAGTTTCTCGTCTATAGCTTGTCAGGAAAGGTGCTGTCTTATACAAATATTATGGCTATTTCAGTAAAAATATCGGATTGAGTACCAATTACATGACTTCGCATGAATGATGTGACACTAGTTAAAATTTAAAGTTAAAAAATGAATATGATAGACAAATTTAATTCAACGGGACATACAACGTTGTGGCGTACACTATTCTATCATGGCTGAACAAAGAAAGCTCATGCACATTCAGGCAAACTCGAAGATGAGCCGTGCAACTTGTCACGTAGGGAGTAAGTGCGGTCTCAGCCAATCACCAGTCCCTACATTGCTTAATAAACCCTTCATTGTGCTTTAAAGACTAGGCTCTTTGGGAGACATCCCGAGTAAACGCGTTCCGTACAGTACGTGTGCTTCTTCTATAACTTTGCGGTAGTTTAGCTAATCATGGGAACCACCCCAAATTCATAATTCTACAACTTTTTCTTAGACATCCAATTAAAGTACACTATGATGATGTATAAAGATATCTATACCAATAATTTTTAAACCGAGTGATGATAAAGTCTTCCGAAAGATGGAATTCGTAAAAAAATTTGACACTTCGTATCTGTTGGCTACTTTCAGAAGTAGGCAACCACTATTCGTCATTGAAGGACAATTGCACGTGATTTTGGTTCCTGGTTGACATTTGTATTCCTTTTACT